ACTCAGCAGAGGGCAAGTTAACCATCCCAGTTGTGTCAGAAGGAACGAAAGCCTCAAAAGAAGCTTCACCTTCAACAACGGGAGTCGGATCAACTACCATGGAATCATCCTCATGTTGAATAGCAGCAGAACTGGATTCCTGAAATGACGGGGTAGCAGCAGTAGTAATGTTGACAGGTACAACATCCGGAAAGCTCGTAGACGTGATGACACCGTCAACAGAAGAGAAAGGTTCTCCAGTAGCAGCGACAGAATGGTTATTATGACTATTATCAGACATTTCGGTAAGTGCAGATTGATAGTATTCTTGATATCGAATATTATAGAGTTTCTTGTTTCGATAAGGTCAAAAAAAAAATGATATATCCAGTTACTTTAAAAGACTTATAAAAATAAAATAAAATAAGACAGTAAAATGACCAGACACAACAAAGATACTCTTTATTCAAGTTTGTTGAGAATGATACTTTTATATGAGAAACGGGGTTATTAACGGGTATTCAACTATTAATACAACTGAACTAAAACTATCATGAGAATGATAAGATCTTAGCCGCAAGCGGGTGTCAAAGTAGATGTGTATCAGATTGTCAAGCAGGTACTGAAGTCGTTCTGTAGTTTAAGACGTATAGTTGTATCTTGGATACAACAAAGGCGTTTTGATACTTGTACTGCATTCCTAACGCGATTTTTCGTGACTTGACGCACGCAGTAACGCTTATCTGCATCGGATAACTTGGCAGGTCTTCCTCCAGGGCAAGCCTTTAAGAGCGGACAAAACTGTCTTTTCACCCGATGAACACTACTCTTACCCACTCCAACTTCTTCCGACACTTCACATACCAATTTACCTTGATTAAGCTTAGCAATGATGCTGTCAACCTGAGATTTTGGTCAGAGACTTCATTATAGACCAGTAGAGCAGAATTCGGAGTCAGAAAATTGAGACATAAGAATTTGAATGTGTTGACAGACATTTCAGGGAGAATCGAAAATTAAAAGATTTGATATCCGAATTACGAAGAGAAAACGAATTAATTAAAGCTTCCACGACATCAATGTACAGCAAGTTTTACGTAGATTAAAACTCTCTACCGACTTGTGGTCCAATTATTATATCACTAGACGGTCAAAAATAAAATGTTACAAAACTGTCCCAATGACATGCCCGCTTTCTGAGACTCAGTGCTAGCGTTTAAAATTTTAATCACCGCCAATGACAATATTCAAATGTTCACCATGACCAGGGCTTTCATTTAAGCTAAGATATGTCGCATTTAGTTAAGTAGGTTGTACGATACGTCAAAACCACTCAAACATAAAAGTACCAAACATTGGGACAGATTTGTAAGTGACGGTACTTCTTCTTCGTCTAAAATCAAAAATCTATAGTCCACTAAAAATAAAGAAACGTCCCAATTAAGGTACCGACTTCGTCCACAAAATTTTCGAAATCGTCTCTTATGAAACCTAAAATACTGTAAATAAATTTTTTGTCCTTCAAGGATCCATACTATCTCCTATACTCTATTCATATTATATTAACGAACTACCTACACTGCTCCGTCCAAGCCCACTGGATCTTTCCTTACCTGTTCCGGAATTGATTCTAAATATCAACTGTTTACTATATGCGACGATGTTGTCTTGATTGCTGATAAAGATTATCTCCAGGCCCTGTTGCAACAATGTGAAGCTCATAGTCTTCGGCTAGGTTATCGCTGGCATCCGAATAAATGTGTTATCCTAGACAGATCAACGCACCCTATAGATTACCAGCTTTATGGAGTTCCTCTACACGTCAGCTCACTTTTCCGTATCTAGGGATACTGTACCTTTTCAACCAGGTGGTAGTATAGATATAAATAAACTAGCACGTACTAACACGTTTAAGGCCCTTACTACGATAAATCAATTAGCAGCAATCGGTGTCAATCCTGGTGGATCCGAAAAACTGCTCTCACTACGGTTACAGTATATGCCCAATTAGTCCGCACAAAGATGGAATACGGACTGGCCATCAGCCCCCTAACCGCGAAGCAATATAACAATTCGAAGATACCCAGAACAAGTGTATTCGACGAATCTTTGGTGGATCCAGTAGATCGTCTGCCCGACTTATGCTCCACCTTGCCAATCTGCCCACCATGAAAGAACGCTCGTTCGTCCTACAAGCTAAGTTTCTACATATTACGTTTTACCTCATGGCCTACTGATACTTTAACCTCGATACTACTCCCATATATAGGCCAGCAACAGAGTAAATCGTTATATTGCAAGCTTGCTCGTTCTCCGATCTGGTAAGATTACACTTCTTCTCCGCTCAATCAACGATCTGAATCAGCTGTTCTGCGACGCTGTATTGCTAACTTCCGTACTAGCCTCCTTCACATCCAACAATCGAGCATCCCCAACTCCAAACTGATCTCTCAATGCCGTTCTCGATTAATGATCGACCCGATCCTTTATATTCCAATGTCAACTAATGAACGCAGCCGATGTATCCGATGGCGTTTGGGTTGGCTTTCTGGAGGCCACCGAACCTATTGCCTTAAACATCCCTCGTCATTACTTACAAAGTTCCACGCTATCTCCTGTTTAAACATGCACCACCGCCTACGACTCCCCACATTAGTCTGTGATCCCATATCCTATGTTCTCAACCGTCTTCCTACACATCCGATCAACAACCCATCCCAAATACAAAACTGGCATTTTCTATGGCTAGCACTTTTGTTGTATTTGCTTATTAAAAAATTGATAACAGTTGTAAGTCGATGACTATGAACTTAGGTGTCTTTATTATTCTTCAGATGAAGTACAGTAGAAGGATTATTTACTTTGTGAGGTTTAATGGGAATTATATTATTTGAGGACGCGTACAGTATGCTAGTCACTAATTTCAGGTTCAGATGCTTATTGGATGATTATTATATTTAGGCCTGTATCTTGTTCTATGTTGTACATAACCTGGTATATTAGATGCAATATAGGTAGATAGACCGTGGTAGAATGTATTCTCTACCTGGTTGAACGTACTCGAGTATTGTAGTTATTATCTCACCAAACACGTCAACTTTGTCACATTTTGTTTGAACTCGACTACTTACACCACTCCTCGGTTAGGGCATCTATTGCTCGACTGGTTACCCTCTTCCCCTCCCATAATCCTTTAGTACAGTTAGTGGGAAAATGGTTCGGATGTTTTTCGATTTTACACTAAATCAACCATTACTCGATGAGTTGTCATTCAAATAAACCGAGGAAATACTCAGCAGATAGCTAAAATTGTGCTTTATCATCTGTTAGATTTATAAGTTATATGATTTGATATCGGAGCTACAATGGTGAAATTAAATTGATAGGTCTATCCGAACCATTTTTCCACCTCATCTAATTTTATGCAATCTCATCGGAATAACAAACTTAGCGACGCTAAATGATTCAAGATGACTCACAATGCGTAATGATGACATTTCGCAACTCCGCAGGTCATAAAAAAGTATAAATATACGACAGTTTGTCTCCTTTTTCGACGTTATCCTTCTCTCTTTAAAATAACTCTTTATTATCTCCAAAATGCCTCGCGCCCTTCCCATAGACACCCAAAACAATATCAAATCCATGTTGCAAGCTGGTTATTCGTATTCTGCCATCATGCAACGTATTCCTGGAGTCAAGAGAACCACAATTGCTGACTATAAAAGGAAGTTTTTCGCTGATGTCGTAGGCGGTGCACCTGGTCGCAAGTCTGTTATCAGTGCTACAACCCGTAGCTACATTCGAAAGCAGCTTGTTTTGGGTAATATAAGGACTGGTAAGGATGTACATAGGTACTTGGTTGGTGTTGGGCATGATATTGGCTATTCTGCATGCTTAAAAGTGATGAAATCCATGGACTTTCAGTCGGCAAAGAAAAAAAAGAAGCCTTTCCTTAAGGCTCAGCATAAGAAACAGCGTTTAGCTTGGGCCAAAGCTCATCAGTATTGGACTACGGATGATTGGAGACGTATGATACTGTATTCTCAGACGAAACAAAAATCAACGTTTGGGGCTCTGATGGCGTAAAGTACTATTGGAAAAGGCCAGATGATGAGTTGCAGTTCCATCACCTTGACCTCACTGTTAAGCACGGTAATGGAAGTGTCATGATGTGGGGCTGTATTACTTACGATGGACCTGGTTATGCATGTCAAATCTATGATGGAACAATGAAAAAGGAAGACTACATCCATATCTTGGAAACTACTTTAAAGGACACCATGGAATGGTATGGATTCGACCCTGAAACCACTTACTTTCAGCAAGATAAGGACCCAAAACATACCGCCAAGGTTACAAAAGAGTGGTTTCTGAACAACAACTTTGATGTCGATTGGACTTACAGCTGGCCACCTCAATCCCCTGATTTAAATCCAATTGAGCACGTCTGGCATCACTTGAAATTGAAGTTGAGTGCATACCCAACAAAGGCTAAAGGAGTACATGAATTGTGGGAAAGAATAGAAGAACAGTGGGCGACCTTTACTAAGGAAGACTGTCGCAAGTACATAGATAGTATGCCCGCAAGAATCCAAGCTGTTATCAAGGCAAAAGGTGGCTATACAAAGTATTAAGGCGTACTTGAATCGAAGTGGAAAAATGGTTCGGATAGACCATTCGATTTAATTTTATTATTGTAGCTCCGATATCCAATCATATAATCTATAAATTTTACAAGTAATAAAATGCACTTTTAGCTATCTATTGCATATTTTTTCTCTTTATTCTGTCGAAAACTCATTGAGTAATGCCTGATTTAGTGTAGATTTGAAAAACATCCGAACCATTTTTCCACCAACTGTACATACAGTAATCCTTTTTACCCTTGAGCCCTAAGGGGTTTTTAGATTCTTTTCAGCCTTTGGAGCTGCCTGGACAATTTAGATAAGCTTTAATATCTCGTGTCCATTGGGCTTAATGTCAGTAATAAAAATCCTCGTTTAAACGTAAATAAATTTTGCTTCCGATGGCGTCTTGGATGGCTACCTGGCGGTCATTCCAACTTCTGCTTCCATCATCCTCCCACCACCATCATGACAAAACAACATGCCATACAGTGCTTACAGATGCATGAACGTCTGATCATGCCAATATCAATTCTAGATCCATTGTCTAATCTTTTGAATCAACTTCCCACTCGCCCCCCTCGATCAGCTGTCACTCGCCAATCATGGGCCGTCCGTTGGCCGGTCATTTGCCACATTCTTTATGAACTCGACCATTTGTTTCATGGATTGAATCCACCTCCATCAGACCCCTCACTAGGCTACGCCCTGTTACAATGGTTGACCCAGCCCTCACACACAACAACAACTGACTAAATCCTTTTTACCCTTGTTCCCGAAGGGGTTGTTAGCAATACATAGTCTATACTATAGAAACTTTAGGATCTGCCCCGGGCAATTTTTGGTACTCATTGAGATTTGGGAATACAGTACAGTATTGAAATAAACGATTTCTCTATAAATGTACCGCATCAGATATATAATGCTTTGAATGTATGCAACGATGTAAAAGTCCATCGTCCGAAGGAGAATATGTACGTTAGACGGTAGTTTAAACTGTTGAATCTCGCCAAGGCAGAATCGGAATAAATCTTACAGATTTTTCAGCGTATCATAGTGCAACCCAATAAAGTGAAGGACGGACCTGTGCGTTTTTGTACGTTAAAAGTTTAAAGTATACGTACTCATTCCAATAAATGATAATTTGTGACCTTTAAATATAGCAAATATCAAAAACTACAATAGAAGAAAAAAAGAAACTAATATAAAAGTACAGTTATTTTGTACAAAATCCGGCATAGGTAAGTCATAGGCATACATTTGGTTTTAGGCTATGGACGAGAAATGGTAATTTTATGTACTACTAATTGATGGTTGCTATCTTACTGTGTACTATTCTGCTGTTGTAGATGCTGTTAGGTGGTCATTCTCTCCTTTCTGTATTCTTGGTTGATCTAACTATTTTCGGGTGTACCAAACAATTACTGTTGGTAAAATCAGTTATCCTTATTGTTACAGTACTGTACAACAATATAAACTATCGTTTTACTTATTAATAGGTATACTGTAATACTGTAGAGCTATCCGCATGTGTAAAACAACCCAATCTAATTCTATATAAGACAGCCCTTAATTATTTTGTCGCCCTATTTGACCCAAATGATCTCTGCTAATTTATACGCTCGAGCTTCGGGTTTTCAAATGTAAATTGTTCTACAGTATAAGAAAATTACTTTCAAAAACGAGACGTTTACCATCAGACAGCTGACAATTGTTTCTATTACTTAATTTTAATATGATGACGTGGCTTCGTCTGTCAATATATTCGGCTTAAAAGCAATACGTATACTGTATGAGAGTCATGCTAGCACGAAATTTGCGTGGTAGAATGCATAATGCTCGCAAATTCATCACGCATTTTGCATGCCACCACAAAGTAAAGCTGGTATAGCCGATGCTACCACGCAGGTTGCGTGCTACCATGAATAGTGCACGGGCGTAGACTTTAATCATTTGAAATTTCCGCTCATACAGTGCTGCTCTTAACCGGCTCACAAAAATATAATTTAAGATAACTTCTGCAGAAATGAAGCTAGACTCTTCAATTTTTGAGTGAATATTGCTTAAGTAACATACCTAGTTTTATTGAACAAAATTTTATAAAATACTATTTAGGAAATTTGGGCGGAATATGAAAAAATGTAAAAATGACTGTAAAATCAATCAGGCTACAAAACATTAGCGCTTAGTATATTCACCTTTAGCCTTGATGACTTCTTCGATTCTTTTGAGCATGCTTTCGTAATACTTCTTCATGTCATCTTTAGTGAATTTATTCCATTCTTGATCGAACCTATCCCACAATTCATCCATATTTCTGGGCTTAGTGTCGTATGCATCTAACTTCAACTTGACATGGTGCCAAAGATGTTCAATCGGGTTTAAATCGGACTATTTGGTGGCCAGTCTTCAATATAACTTATTCCATTATGTGCAAGCCATTTTTTTGTGTATTGCGAGGTGTGTTTTGAGTCTCCGTCCTGTCGAAAGATGACTTCGTCGTTGCTACAGTAAGACCAAAGTACTCAAGTGTATCCTTATACGAAGTAGCCAAGATATGGGTGAACAGTTCTGATTTCATAGGATACTCGATAATGTGATATTTATGGTTGTTTTATGCCTAGTGAACGCGACTTAATTTGATATAAACTGTAAGGTGAAATGAGTCTCCTTTAGTCCTTTTATTGTCACTGAAAATCAGAGAGGGGAGCGTTCACAGCAAACTGAATGTTTGTATTTAAAAAAGCAAAAAATTGAAAAAGTCCTCGTTACTTAATTTCTAAGCCAGTACTAATGCAGCATTTATATGCGCATCTTCAGAAATACAAGATGACGTGTACAAGTGTTATTATGATTCTATGGTCATAATAACGAGTCAAATGCTTGAAAGTGTGTTTAATTCGTCTTTATACTGTATATTATAGGAGGTATGGAAATACCACAAATAATACGGCATGCGTAGCCTACTCCTGTTGATGTCATGCATCCCCAGACCATCATTAAGCCTCCGCCACCTTTTAATTGAGTCTGATAATTATGGGGTCGGCACGATGGCAATATTATATGAGTAAATCACTCAAAACGTCTAACGAAATGTAAGATAAAACTTGATCTCAGATATGAGTACTGCTCATATCTTCGTTCCCGTTTGGTAAGCGGTGCGTTCGATTGCATACATCTGGACCTTAGATCAAATGTATAACAAATAAAGATAAGATAAGAAAAGAATATGGATTAAGGATAATTCTTACTGTAGGTGAGATTAGCTACCTCACGTAAGATCTGAACAGGTTATCCTTATGAAATATATTTTACTTAGATTATCTATGGCTATAGGACGTTTAAGTATATAGCAGGATTGCTATACTGTATGTACTCGTAGGATATATTGATTCAACAACCAAAACATAGTAGGTCGCGGTACTGCTCCCTGTTCCGGAAATAAAGTATGGTTGGAGATAAAAAGGCTCAATCACTCTTTATTAATACAACAACTGTTCACGCAATCAAAAGAACACCACGCACGAATATCTCTTCCTAGCTAACATCTATAGTCATTCCCACAGTATCTGAGCTACACAACTGGTGGCCGATAGCTATTGGATTATAGAAGTAGCTGCATGATCACCCTGGATCTGTCAGGATAGCACATTACAAATCAATCCGCTCTGGGATGGACGAGTAATTATCCACTTAGGGAAGACCTATTCTTTTACGGAAACCTCTGATTCACAGAGTATTATCTGACCATAATACATCAGTGTCAGCTACTGTATAATTCCCGATAGAATCATTTCGTAGACAGCAAACACAATACTGTAAGTCTTTCTTAATAGCAGTAATTTTAGTTTTCTTTTCTTTTTCTTTAGTTTATTTTTGAAAGAGAAATAAAAGACGATAGTTTGATTCCGTTAAGCTCTCGTGTCTATTCTCTCTTGTGTTATTCTTTACCTTTTATCTTACAGTTAAAACTAGTGAATACCACAATATCTCAGATACCCTGCCTCCGTCCAGAATGTCTAACATAGTATCATCTAATATTTCCTCAAGTATCTTTGCATATTGGCGATAATATGGGGTCATTATCAATCGAGGTCTTAGATGAATTTATCGATTTATTAAATAATATTTTTGATAAAGCTCTCTTCTTTTGTTATTTAAATTTTTAATTTTTTGATAATGGGTGGTAGATCTTCGATTTTGATATTACTTTCATCATCTAGTGTTTTCCTTTTTTTGTCTTTATTTTTATCTTTATCGCATGTTTTAAATTCATATACTTTTTTTAATCTTTTAGTTGATCTATTTCTTTTCATATAAATTTTATAACACCCATCCTTTTGCTTGATTCTATATTCTTCTAAATCATATTTTTTCAGATCTTTTATAAATACACTTCTTTTAATGTTATATTTATACTTCTCATTTACTATTATATCTAATATATTGTCCATAATTGTTTTTATGTTTAGAGCTTTTTCAATTTTTTTTCATTTAACATCCAACTGTTTCTAGTCTATTGCATAATCATTGTGTATGTGATAAACTAGTTTATTGACTTGGTCTGATCATCGTAATTAATGTAATGAATATTACATAAATATGCATCATATTGTCAATATATAAAATTAATCTTTTAGAAATTTTTTCCATATGTTAAACTCTCTATATTTCTTACGCCATTGGTATTCTTTTAAGTACAACAATATATCTTTTTTATTTCTATTTCGTGGTATTATACTTTGCTTTAAACCATTCCATGTACCTTCAATTGTATTTGTATGTACACCTGTAGCAGGATCTTTAAAATTTTTAGCATGGTTGACAGTCATGTGTTTATATCCGATATTTTTTAAATTATTATATCCTTTCCATTTATCTGTATATATAATCGTTCCTTTCTTTACGTATCTCTTTATAATTAAATCAATGTTATCAATATTTCTTTCTTCAATGGGTAACAGAAACATTTTTTTATTCTCATTCTTTATTTTTATTTTTTAATATACTTCGTTCAATACCTCCAATTACCCAAGCTCCTTCTACCTTATATCCCTTATTATATTTTCTTTTTGCAATTTTTAGCTTCATCTACTGTATTTCCACAATTCTATTTCTACCACCAATTTTGATATTCTTGTTACCTAATAATTGTTTGTTTTTCAGGTATTTTCTAAATAACTTATTATATGATGATACTGTATTCTTACTGATTTGTAAACTTGATGCTATAAATGAAGAAGGTACTTTTCCAAGAAAAAGATATAATATATGTAATTGAATATTTAAAGGTAAAATAAACTTACTAAAAATAGTTCCTTTCAATGGAGATATTGCTTTCCTGCATTTATAATATCTACATACGTAAAACTTTTTATTTAAATTCAACTTTGTTTCATGCTCGCATTTATTGACATAATCATTATTAATTAGGTATAATAGTGCTTCTTTCTCATCGTCAAATATTTTTTTCAATGATTTATATGGTTCTATGAACATATACTTTATTATAGTAAACAAAATTCAATTCTGCGCAAAAAAAAATTTAACACAGAGTTTAAATCATAAATCTGAGAGTTCCTCTGGTATACATCCATAATATGTTAGTTCACTTGCATTATTATCAGAACAAATATTGCGAATCAGGGAGGCAATGCTCAGCAGTTAGATCAAGTATGTCCAAAATTTGTAAACATTCTATCTGATCAGACTTCAGCAGTTCAAGCTTTTTTTTGGCAATATCAGTTCTCGATTCC